TCCCTATGGACAAGAAAAAACGGTTATTATCAACATAAACAGTCAGTGATGTCGAAGCTTCCTGTAAAATAAACACTTTAGTCACTTACAGTTTGCTTTTTTCCTTCGGCTCACAGATGTCTGTTGTTACCAGTAAATCAATGAATTGTCTCCTCTTCTGGCAGTACTCTCTTCCCTTTGGAACCTGAGGGACAATTCTGAGAGATCCAAAATCTGCCCACAAGCAGGCCCTCTCCTGTATAATTGGCATGAACTGCCTCTCTTCACCAGTACGGTCTCTGTCATTCTTGATTACTGATTTGATTAAGTTGACCTGGCGAATTTGTGCCTCTAATGTGTGTTCGGGTAGGTGACTCAACTCTCCCTGTAATGAATTTAAAGACAACAACTGTTAGACTTGAGAAAACACTGATATTGAACTTTCCAGCAGATATACTTTACTCAATCTCTAAACAAATTCAATTGAGTGATGGTACTGAATCGTTCAATAGTAGTAAGACCAATGATGGCTTTCTTCAATGAAGATATTAGCTCATGATATGAGGACCTCATTTTATAAAGCTCAGATACATGTATCTTTGGATTTCTAGTTGAAATTTAACCTAACCTGGTCAAGAGAGGCTTCCTAGATAAACTCATCCACAGCCCCGTTTAAAACGAGATAAACAGCGGTATGCCTCTGTGTAAAATTGGTTACTCACAACAAAAACTCCTGCTGCACATATCTCCACATCTTGTGTCATGAGATCAAATAGTTTGCATGGTTCATTGAAGTGGTCAGGGTTAAGTAAGAACCTTTTAACCCCAAACTCCACACTCGCTAGCCTGGGCTTGCTTAAAGACATTCTTCCTACAACTAGAACCAGCTCGTATCTAAAGTGAAAACAAAACGAGGCTTAAGAAAACTCCTAAGGTGGATTAAGTCTCACGCGTTATTCCCTTTTACTTCTACTCTACAAGTGGCAGAACACAAGAACACAAGAAAACAACAGGTTCGACAAAAAAATGTTTTGACTCAAGCACGGCCCGGTACGATAGTAGCAATGGGTGCCTAGGAATGAGAAACGGATAACTCACTCATCAAACAGGCAGTGAGTTAGCAGATTGATATTGGAATTGGGAAAGAAGAAGGAGAAGGCGGTAAGAGCACCACAACAAGGCCGTCAGACAGCCATCTTAGCTCTACCTTAATTGTCGGCTTTCACTGTTTACAAACTAAAAATGGATCATTCACTTGAACCTCAAAATGCTGTTAATACTTCAGTTATTAGTATGGGACCTTACACCGCGCAGCCCTCTCGGAGGTAATTTTTGATACGTTTTACTGTTCACATTGTGTACTTATAATATTTGACACATTAACCTGTGTAACCTTGAACGGTTTTGTCTGAATTGTCAAGGCCCGGATGCAGCAATCTTCTTTCGACGGTAGCGCTGAAGCGTTATATTGAGAGAGCACTAGAGAGAGTGCTAGAGGGACGGACAAACGTGCATCCTCATGATTGTGGCATGATACTGGACCGGCTCCGAGAATCCTGTGTTGTTGATATCATGAAGAGAGAATTTCCATCTAAATTATGCTGTACAATAGGAAATGACGCTGTTGAGGAAACGGTTGGTATTGCATTTTAAAACCTGAGTTGTTCGAATTTCTGTGAAAATTAAAAGTGTTCTTGCCTGTTGTACTCTGAATTTTAACAGATTGCTACCATTGAGGAAGATTCAGCTCTGAAGGCAGATATCAAAAAATCTGAAATTATCAAAGACAACAGTCAGGGGAACAATAATTCTCAATTCTCGGAGCCACAGTTGAGACATGCACCATTACCGAGAAAAGATGTCCCTGCTGAAGTTCTTTATTCTCTCAGAGGGGTGCAATGCAGTCTCTGCAGGCAGCTATTTAAAGGTCCAGACTGTTTGGAATGCCTTATTGAGCACACAAAGGAAAAACATTTAGATAAGGCCAGTCCGCGTTTTTTAAAGAGAGTTAGGGAGGAGAACTCCTATAAGAATTTGCTTGGTGATGGAATAATGTACTGTACATGTTCAATGTGCATTCGTATAGGGTTTGCTAGATTGGACAAAAGATATGATGTTGCTCGTCGCATGTGCCTTTGAAGGTAAAACTTTCAAAGTGTGCATCCGCACACAATAATTCGCATTCTTGTCAAAAAGTGCAGAAATAAGGACCTTTTTCAGTCCTGTGCATAACCTACGCATTTAATTATATTGTTCTACTATTCAGTACTCCAACCTTTTTAGCCCGCCCTTCTGCTTTTAAAAAAGCATTAAAGCGGGCTTATGCAACCGCTCTCGTGTCCGTCCGTCCGTCCGTCCGTCCGTC